TTCTAACTGTTTGCAACTAGTTAATTGTATTCTAATTATTTAATGCCCTGAATGTTTTGTGGTAGCAAGGACATAATAAAGTGATTATTAATCAGAATTTTAACAAGTAACAGTTTCAGATTTATCCCCAGGAAAAAATGTGTTCCTGGATCCCAACTTATTAAATTAAGGTAATGCATTTGTAGCTGGATTTTTAGTATCTATATATATTTTTATCTATCTGTCCATCTCATCTGGCTTCAATATCACTGAACTGTAGAGATGATCAAAAGCAAAATGAGAATGGTAAAGCTAAGGTCTCATTTGAAATATTGTCTTTCCAGGCTGATATTTTTCCAGTCATTCTGCCAGCAGTCTCAGGTCTGCATCGTCTATTTAAATTGTCATCTCATCTAAGTGCAAATCTTGGCCCAAGCCAAGGCCATCTGTTGTTGGGTAATAGTTGTGATTTATTCTGCCTCTGGATGACATTCATGCCCATGGGCCAGATGCTGACTTGTAAGATTTGCTTTTATTCATTTTCAGTTTTATACCATGTGTTAATATCACAAACAGTATTTTAATTTTAGACATTTTTGTCTAGTGTTTAAAATTAGGGATGAGTAATAGCACCACACACCCCTCTGGGATGCAATTCAGCATACTTCAGAACAGGATAGGACAGGAGAAAATACTTTACATGTTAGAAATACATTCAAACAATGTTTCTAAATCTCTAATTTCTTCCTGATCACTAATCCATACATTCATTTACATTGCACATAAAAAATTAGGTACTGCTTTCAAATAAAAGTTGTGGAATATTTGAAGACTTTTTGGCATGAGAATGTTGTAGGTAGCTAAACTGTAGGCAAAATATTTATGATACTCTGCAGCATACCTTTGCCTTCACTGTAGAATGAGGGTAATTAGGAAACTTTGCAAGTTGAGACTGACTGTCAGAGGGACACTCCTGCATATAAAAGATAAAGATTATTAGGGAGATGGATAAATTTCCCGAATTCCAGATTTATAAAAATGGCTCTTTGTAGTAGAGATGGGCCGTATCCAACTTCCAGACAATCTGTGCATCTTGCACATTAGCTGCCAGTAGCAGTTTGGACTTAGAGATGACTGGCTTTTTGTATGTCTGCCTTCTCCAGAGTTGGTGTTGAATCACTGAAGAGTTGTGCAGAACTCCAGATCACATTTGGATACACAAATGTGAGCAGAAATTACTTCATTGTCTCACTGTTTGCTGTGGGAGCAGAAGGCTCTGGGTCTTCCCTCCCATACTGTTCAAACTGCTCCAGTGGAACAGGGGAGTAGCAGGTGAATTGGTACAAGAATGTACCACTTCGCTGTGTAGTTTTAGAAAACATTTCAGAGTCTGGAAACTAATGGGAAGTTAATTTTAATGTCTTGGGTAGCAGAGCAGCTTTGTTGAAAATGGTTCTCTATGCACTTTGTCCATGATCCAGTGAGTTGATCGTGTCGGGTTGAGTGTGGAGGGATTTCTAGTAACAGTGCACAGATAATAGGTATTAAAGTTTTTATCTTATCAGTTTCTGTCTCTAGCACAATTTTGTGTGGCTGAGAAGGATGTATTGGGCCTACCATGCTTTCTGTAAAATAAGTTCACTACGTTAGACTGAATTATAATAATGGCACTTTATGTATCTGTCCTCCTCCTTATATTCCTTTGGTTTTGATCATCTGTAATTGTGATCTAGAAAACAATGATCCTTTTGTTTCTCTGAGGCAAGGAAAGAAGACTGGGTGGTGTTCATTTAATACAGCTTCAGGTGTTTGGACGTTGGCTGACCAGTCTCAACTAGACCTCATTCTCATGAGAGTCACTGGAGAGCATCAGGCTTCTATGGATCTCCTGTCATCTCCAGTGCTGTCTTACCGTAGAGTGAAATACTGGCTGGAGTTGCCCACTTCAGTTGACTGATGTAGCAGAAAATTACTTGGTGTTTTTGTTTTAAGCCAGAATTATGAGAAAGGAGAGCAAACAGTGGTGAACTTCTTGTTTCTTCATTGCAGCTCTTGAAACATCATTCACAGAACTCTAAAATTAGTTGAGATTAAATCTAACTCCTGATATTAAAAAAAAAAAGCTTCTAGGTGAGGCAGAACTAGGAGAGGTGAATTTTACATCTAATTTTTGATTCAAGGTTTAGAATAAAGTATTGTTTTCCAGCAAATCAATTTGGTGGAATCTGAACCTGCCCAGCAATATTAGTGCATAGTTTGGCCATGTTGTAGTCATGGAAATGCAATTTGTTAACTGCAGAGTCAAGTCTGAGCCAAGTCTTTGAACTGAACGATGATGGAGGAGATGCAGAGCTTGTAGAGGCCAAGTCTGAGGTGTTTGCACTGCTTATGTAGTTGCCATAGGACTCTCTTGAGAAGTTGGTACTGCCAGTGTCCTGTGGACTCCAAAAAGAGAATCGGAGAATCATTGAAATGGGTAGAGAAAACCTCTGGTGCTGCCTAGCCCAACTTTCTCCTCAAAGGGGAACTGTTGCCAACAGTAGGTAAGGGCAGCCATGACTTTGTTTAGCTGGGTCTTGGAAACCTCCTAGCTCTTTGCTGACCCGTTCCAGGATTGCACCACACTCTGGGTGAAAACCTGTTTCTGAATGTCCAACCTGAACCTCCTGTGGTACAGCCAGGAAAGGTAGTGGTACAAGAGGTACCTGAGTAATTCTCCTTTTTTGGTTGCTATCCAGAAATTTGGCATTTCTGTCATGACACTGCTGTTTATTGCTGTAGAGGTACTCCAATTGTAAAGGCTTTGTGATCGTTCTTAATACATTTTATACATACGGTAAATAAAGGTCCCATTATACACAAAACTAAGCCAGCATCAATTAATGTACCAATTTTCAGATACATTAGCAAAAAATAGTAGTTGCTTGTAGTTATTCACAAGTGATCATCTGCACAGTACTTGTGTTTTGCTAGGCAATGATGTTGTGCACACTCAGAAGCACAGAAAAAAAACCCAACAGGATAAGCATTTTTTAAACGATGTTAAAAATAGTTGTCAAATCATGACAAGGACATCGTTACAAAATGTAGTTTTAATGGACATCTTATCTTTGGCCTGTTCCCTTGGGAACATTGAATTTCAAGAACAGTTTTTCCGTAAAGTTGATTGTCTTCTGAGTGTTGTCTTAATCTCAGTGGTTCAAAAATGCAATGGGAATTACATATGTAGTCTGAGAATTACACCAGAGTGGTTTTATAATTTTAGTACCAATATGTTTTTAATTACGGTCATTTATTGAAGTAATGTTTTCTTCTTGTGGTCAGTCATTTGTTTTTGGGGGGGGATTTTTCGGTGGGAAAAAAGGAGGGTGATATTTCTGCAATGTATCTACAGAATATCTTGATATATTTAACACCTAACTTTGTGTGTAACTCAGTTCCCTGATTCTGAGACATAACAATGTAGAGTTTAAATATTAAAATGGGGAAAATACAGTTACCCTGGCATTAAGAAGTTAACAACTGTGTCCTGAAAGAAGTCTAATTTAGTCTGCCAGAAAGATAACCTTGGCCAAAAGCATGAGATGTTTGTGTGCTGTTCTTACCCTTCAGCAGGGAGCCGAAAAGCTGCATGTAAAATTTCTGAGTGCCAGGTTTGTAAAACATCGTGGGAGTTTTACAAATGGGAAAGCATGAAATTAGTTGAGAGCAGCAAACTTGCTTCTGCGTTTTAACCATGTAAGATAGCCACTGGCTCTTGGAAATTGAAAGGCAAACAATCAGATCTGGTTTTAGGATAATTCCAAAAACTTTTTAATGAGTTGGTCTCCACGTGTTTGACATGGTGGCACCTGCCGGCTTTCCTTCTTCTCAGAGACCCTGGGAGTGAATTTGGCATCACTGGGATCGGGAGAGTGGCAAACACAGGGGCTGGGAAAATAAACCTTTCCCTTAATTCTTTGGGACCTGGAAAAGATACTTAGTGATTGGCAGGTTTTTGTTTCACTTGGAGACCGAGTTGGAAATTTGAACTCAATTTGTCAATGACATAAACACAGTCTTTTGTTCCTAATTGCTAAGAGAGAGCAGATATATATCCCTCACAATGCCCACTGGATACTGAGATGGTGCAGCAAATAAACCTTCTCTCAGGGAAGCTAAGCTTTGAAAGGCATGGGAAGCTTCCCTCATCCTCAGTAGTCTTTCTTTGGTCTGTCTAGATGAGCATAGCACAATAATATGGGAGATGCCTGGACTAGTGCTTTATATTCTGTTACTTCTGTTGATAAGGGAAGAACCATATTTTCCCAGGCTGCAAGTTGAGCAATTTGAGTTCAGCAGCAGCAAAAAAAAATGAAGAAAGGCTGCATTTTTCCTTGCAGGTCAGGTCCATATTCAGAGCATCCAGTGCAGATGCAGCTTCCACTGCTAAAACCCAGGGTAGTTAGTTTGAATGCTGCTGTCTTACCCAGCCACCTCACAGTTGAAATAAGCTACTAAAGCACAGCTTTGCCATCAAAATTCCTTGGTAGGTTTTGTGAGCAGAGCTCATATTTCACACGCCGTCACAACCCTGACTGATACAGTCTTACTGCACAAGGCATGTGGTGTGGAGCTTGACATAGATATAGCAGGATGACATTTATGTATAAAGCAGACAGCACTGCAAGTAAAGGCTCCAATTCAGTAAAGCCCTTAACCACATGTTTAAATATCATTGAAGTTAAATTACTTTAATCATATACATAAGTATTCTGTTGAACGAGGGCCTAATAGTAGTTTCCATCTCTTTCCACATGATCAAGGCTTTGTCATATTCTGCTGCATGTGATAGGGGTTTCTTCTCAGTTGCATAGCATGAGCAATCGCTGTGACTTTTGGAAGACTCACTGAACAATTTGCATTTGCTAAGCTGTCGTAAACAGTTTTATGTGGAATGCCTGTAAGACAGAATTGAAAGGAATTTTCCCGGCTCTGTACTTCCAGGGTAGATTTAACACATCTTTTCCCCTATTTTCCAGGACCACCTGTTATTGCCAGCCACCACACATAACAAGACCAGAAGACCAAAGATGTCTATAGTGTTGCCAGCTGTAAACATCAATGGTAAGTCCAAAACATGAAAGAGAGCAATAGGAGAATAATTTCAAAGAGGTGTGCCTGACTTGTAACCGAACTTAATCTGTTGTTACAGCTTTGAAAAAGAAGTCAGGCTGGTCATTACTAGGACCTAGTTGCCAGGTCCCCTCTGGAGCTGGGGTGCTGGCAAATCACCAGTGCCTGGTCACCGAGACAGTAACGAGAGGCTGCGTGACTTGGAGAGCAGTTCTGCAGTATCTCCCTCAAGGACAGGGGTCCTGCCATCCAGTCCCAGTGATTTATACACAGCTGATTAAGGGTTACTTGAATGTGATCTAGCTTCTCGAACTTGGTGGCTACAAAGATCCCACTGAGTGTAGAGACTGTCCTCATCCTCTCATTTGGGTTCCTCCTATGCCTGCTTGGCAGGGCAAATTCCTTGGCCTTACTGGTTTGTTAGGATGCTGATTGCCTTCCATCGGCTTCCTCAGCTGTTTACCACTCTGTTACACAACACTCAGTGTGAGTGGGACCTCTCAGCACTGCGTGGTCACGATTAATAATAATCATGTTACAGTGCTGCAGGACAGCAGAGAAAACAGCTTTGCACTAGGGGCACGGGCTTATTGGCAAACAGAAATTTCTTGATCTGCATTTTAGTCCCACATGAGAGACAGGGCATGAACTGTATATATACATATATAGATCATTAATTCATGTGGTGAGGAACTGCCAAGTTAGGACATGTTTGGGGCACAAGGTCACTGTTACAGTCATCAAACATATCGTGAACCCTGTAACAGTATAAACTTTACTTTCTGAATATCTGTACACGTAATGCTTTTTTGCGGTACAAGTGAATCATAAACCCAAATGTTTTTGTTAAATTCAAGCGTGCCTAAAACATTGTCTGATGATGTAAATTTCCATAAACTAAGAAAAAAAAAAAAATCAGCTCAGGCTTTTAACATTTTGATAATTACACTTTCCCATGCAGTACAGTAAACTGATTGTGATAGTCTATAACCAGATATTTTAGGGGAAATTTATTAGATGTATCAGAACTATTTTTGGCATTTATCTACCTGAAACTCCCTTTTCATGTCCATTACAAAAATCCTTTTCTGGCTGAGCTGAATTATCATGTGAAAATGGTCACTTTATCCCTTGAAGAACAAACACTATTTCTAAATTACAAAGTATTTCTTCTTAACATATTACTGAGTCTTGTTTTACTTGAAATAACTTTTTGGGTTTTGGAGTAAATATAATTTGGAAAATACACATCAGAATCCAGTGATAAATCTTATCCTTCATTAGTAGTGAAATATTGTGAAATTTTAGTTACTTGAGTTCTTTGGGATTTTTCTTCAAAACATCAGCATAATCCAGGAAGTAAAAAAATGTCTAGGGGTTTGGTCAGAGATGTTGAAACAGATGAGACACAAGGATAGCATTAAGTAAAGAATGGCATCAAACACTGCTTCCTGTGACACTTGGCCACGTATTAGGAAAAAAATTATAAGATACACGAGAGCCAGTAGGTAACTTGGCTTGATTTTTAATTTGATTATTAGTATATTACCTGGAGGAGATGATTCTCTAAGAAGTTCTGCCTGGAGAAGAACGCATTTCTCTCCTTTGAGAACATCATTCCTCCAGCCTATTCTGCCTCCGCGGGAACTGAGCACATCCTGCACAAGCATCTGGAAGTTAGCTGACAACAAAGCTTTCCTCCCAGCTGTCTCCTGTTCTTTTAAGCCCACCTCAATTCTTTGTCCACCTGCAGAGAGTTGGCTGCTAGAAGAGGACAGGTCTCCCTGGGAGGAATTGGCAAAACTTTCAATGAAAGAACTTGTCCCCTCCTGCCTTTTCTCATGCTTCAAGCAGATCTCTGTGGAAGAATGGAAACCTTTTCCACTGCCACTTGCTTGCCCTTCCTTTTTGCTGCCACAACCCTGGCAGTGGAGATGAAGGGAAGGCAAGTGAAGCTTTTCAGAAAGTTTTTCAGAACTTCGCTTGCTTTCTTCTGCAGGATGTTAATTTGTCTGTGTACTAAAGTTTACCTGTGACAGTGTTTCCAAGCATGAAACAGCTTACAGTTCAGTCGAGTACCCTTTGAACTGCTTGGACAGTCACTTTCCAGCAGGACTGTCATCCTTTTCTGATTGCACTTTGATCGCTTGAGTGCCTTCTGAGTTCTGCTTAGAGACTCTGCCCTTAGCCGGCGTGAGCCGTTCCCATCACTGTCTGCAGGGACATGGAACAGGTATGGACAAAGACTAGGAAGTAGAATGAGTTGTCAGTCGCTGTCCTACATGACTCTGCATGGAGGTTGATGACAAGGTTCTGCAAGACCAGTCTGGCAGTTTTCACCAGCGTACAAAGCAGAATCAAGTTTACTGTTTTAAGAGTTTTTCTTAGAGGGAAGAGTTGGGGTAAGTCCGGCCTGTGGCAGCGCTTTGCAGCTAATGGCAAATCTCAACATAAAATTTTGTAGGAGACGGGTACGTGTATGTGCATTCAGTAAGGTGGAAGTTTAAGAGAACAGTATTGTACAAAGCAATAACAGTACATCATTCATTTTCAAGATCAAAACTTGATAAAAACTATTCAGTTGTTGTATGTTGGAAAAGAGTAAAAAAAGGCCATTACCTTGTACCTTTCTTCTGTGTGCTCCTTCTGCTGGTCCCTCTGCAAGCACAAGGATAAGCCAGCGATATCCCCACTGAAGGCTTCTGTGCAGATGCACAGAAATATGTTAAATATGTTTAACTATTAATTCTTTTTTAAAAGTATAGTAACTTTTTATGTGTTGGTACATGTTGATCCTCCCTCTCTGACCCTCTTTTCCTTCTTCCCCACCCTGTTCCAAGCCCCTTTCCAAGCTCACTGGGCCACCCCCCCGCACCCCCAAGTTCACAGCCAGTACTTGCTGTCAGCTCCTCCATTTCTGCCTCCCCAGATGCTCTCGCAGCCCTTTACCCTTCTCCCATTTCCCTGCTGGCTGCTGTCCCTCAGTACAGCTCTCTCCTTGGCCCCAGCAGCTAGCCATGCCCACAGTTTGACCTGCCACTGCCCAACGACAAAGCCCCAGCATCTGTGGACACAGGTAGTATTCACAGCAAATCTGCCTGATGGTACCTAAGGACCTTAGGGTTAGTAAGTCTGGAGGGAAAAAAGCAGAACTGACAAGTCCTAGTCCCACTGCACATGGTTTTGGGGGCACCATTGGTGTGCCTTTACTGAGAAGTTATTCCAAGAAGAAATATCTTGCAGTTTCTCATGGGAATGAAAGCCAACTGCAACTTACAGTTAAACTCTGGCTTTTGTTTTTAAGCAAGTCATGTTTGTTATGCTGGATTGCAGCTATTATTTTAGAAATCTAACTATGCACTTGAGACCAGTTAAGTCTCCAGTAGATTTCATTCCTAAACTTGCTTTTATTGTAATTCAGAGTCTTGTTGGCTTATTACACCAATTCCAAATCGACATATAGGCGGTGCCTTTCTTGAAGCTTAAATGAAAACATCTGCCATTAGCCTTCTATTTACTTAACTGCTGTAAAAAATGCAGTGGGTTATAATGTTGATCTTTGGATCAAAATAATCTATAGAGTACAGCATAGCTAAGCCACTCGTCCTACCCCAAGCACAAGCCTTTTGTCTCTGCAGGATGCCTTCAGCTTTGCAGCGCAGCACACACCACCAGTAGTCCTCTCCTTACAGCACACAAAAGTGAGAACATATGTACAGTCATTCACTGTAGGAGATAGCATTCAACATTTAGCCCAAGAAGCCACTTGAATGCATTTCTCCCTAGGATTAAGTTAGGTACTCTCACAGCTTGCACTTCCTCTTGGTAGGAGCAGCTGTGAAGGTCTCTGCGGCTGTGTGCTCACCTTGAGTACTGGTGGCCTTAGCAGCAGCACAAAGACCAAAAGGCCTTTTTAATTCTTAGGATCCCTGTGCAAAATCGTTCCCTGTACATGAAAGTCCTTCCATCATTTGCTCTCTCTAAATTGCGAGTTGGTGTCTGTACTTTTGGCCAAACAAAAGTGAGAGACCTGATGAGAAAGCTCTTGGTGATATCCAGGGTTCATTTTCTGGGATTTGGAAGCCATGACAGGGAGAGTTTTGAGTTTTTTACAAATACTCTGAATAGGTCCTCAGTCTAATGTCACTCAAGGGGACTTGTTTTCAGTTTGCCTTTGAGATCGCCATTTGTGTGCCTGACCCTCTGTAACTTGTATGTTCCTGGGCTCTTAAGGAGCCCTGTTTTCTCAAGGGTTGCTTTTTGTCATGAAACACAACACCAAAATAGTCTCCTAAAGGCAGAAATTTACTGTGAATGGGATGACGAGTTTTGCAAAGTCCATGTGCTCTGTTGTGTTGGCCCGCTTCTGATCACGACCACTTCCCTCAGCCTTCCTTCCTAGCATCCATCACCCTACTGATGGTAACAGACTTCAAAAGTGCTCTGAAATAATACACATTCTAATTAAAAAGGTCAATAACAAATCTAGTGGTAAGGCTTTTTGATCAAAACTGGAGCGATTTCTGCCATCAAGCAGCGTGATTATTTGCATGCAGCTACAAAGAACCTTCTTTCAACTGACAGCCATGTGCAAGCCACTCACAGATGTCCAAGGCTGGTAGCAAACTGTCTCTGAAAAATCCATAAGGCAAACAGAACCCACACAGCCTGAGAAGGAAAATAAAAACAAAAGCTCTTTGGGAAGTGACAGTGTTCTGTAAATTCCCATGTCTTGGGGTTGAATAAATAAAGCCTCCAACTTCCTCTGCCTTTCAGGGTCAAGCAAACAAAAGATGCCATTTCCGTCTGTAGGAGCAAGAAGCAGAATTCCCAATCAGTCATTGAACGGGGAAGGTCTAAAACAATACATACCACTTAATGGCAGCTGACTTCCCTGAAGGTTACTGTGTAATATTTTGGGTAGCCTTCTCTCCCTCTCTTGAAATAGCTTCAGATTGGTTTCCAGGAGGCTCATGGCCCCAGCTATCTCTAGCTGTTGTTGGTTCATTCTTCTTTTTGTGCTTAGAAGACAAGTCTTAGTCCCTGTGGCTCTTTCTCACAGCTGCTGTCCTTGGCCCCAGACAGAGAAGGTGTTGCCACTCTAGTAGGTCCAGAGGACACATCTCTTGGCTACACAAGCATGATCTGCAGAGGTTCTTCCTTCGTTGTTTCTGCTTTTATATCTGGATTTAGCAGAAGGTGCTGAGAACTCAGCACAGCCTTACAAGCTATAGTGTATGAGCAGAAGGCTCTGAAAGCTGTGTATGTAGGAATACAACTTATCTGTGAGATGAAAGAAGGGTGGCTGCTAAGGTTTTTTGAAGGTCGCTGAGAATTCTTCAAAGCATCAAGTCCTCTAAGCCAGGATGTAGGAAAATACATCTGAGAATGTCTCCATTCTGTAAATCTGCAGGCCATTTTGAAAATACCACCCTTCTGCTTCTTGAGCTGCCAGTTGAGGAATAAAAGCAGTTTGGTGAAGGCTGACCAGGGAAAAATCAGAGCCATGGTTAGCTCTCGGTTGGACCTCACTGCAACAGCTGATTACTGAGCCTGGACTGAGAAACAGGGGGAGTGTGCTGTCTCCTGTGTGCATTCATGGACAAGCAGCATGTCACATTACTGTGGTTCCGCTGTAATTAGGATGGTTTGCTAATGTCACAGATGTACTTCAGCTCTCATGCTCTTGTAAAGCTGTGCTGTAGAGGTCAGGATTGAAATCATGGCAGAACATATTTTATCAAGGAATTTTAATGACAGATTTTAGTCATATTGTAAGATGCTGCTATTCTCATTCCTGTTCTCATTTCGAAGTGATATAAAAGCTCAGTTTATCAAAACAGAATACCCCCACCCAAACATTCCTACATTTCTTTGAACATCAGAATCGATCGTTGCCTAGATTCAACCTTAAATAGAAGTTTTCAACAGATTTTGTTTTCTTTGAGAGATTTTGCTCTCCTCAACCATTGTCTGTTAATATATGTTGTCTTTGACAGAAGGAGAAGATTCAATTATTCAAAAAATATGAAAGAAATCATTCAAGAATCTGTGCACAAAAGTAATGGAATCTGTGTCATTTGAGTTCATGTTTATTTAGTTAGACAGGAAACAATCAAGAAATGAAATCATAAAGGCTTATTCCCCTATGACTTTTCATAATGAGCTGTTTACCTAAATTGCTAAATGAGTAACCTATTTTTATTTATTCAGAAGAACAGGATGATGATTTCAGAGGCTCTTCTGTGCCTTTTCGCCCCTTCATTAATATAAAAAAGAATATCTCTTGGGTTTTGTATGATGGAGCAGGCCAAGCCCTAGAGTGACTGGTCTTCCCTGTATAGACAGGATAAATGCTACAGATGGCACCTTCTTGGGGACACACTGTTTACAAAGGGGGTAGAGAATGTGTCATAAATTAATTGGGCTTCATACTTAGTATTTCCAACACCAGTGTCGAGTTATTACACCAGATTGTTTTTTTCCATGTAAAAGACACACTTATATAAAATCCACAAAGTAGAAGAAAAAAGAAACCCATGACATTAGCTGCCAGTATGGATGCCAGTATGGAGTTGGAAGAGCAGCCAAACTGGGTTTAGAAGTGAACATGCATGTGTCTCGCTGCAGAGACCCCGTCTTCTAGGTGTTGGTTCGCCCCGGATGCTGATGCTGCCGTGTAGGTGTGCTTTCCCACCAAGCTTCACAGAGCACACTGTGCCTAGAGCTGTGCTGCAAAGAGAAAATTTTCATCCCGATCTGTGAGATTACCATCGCCATCTCAGCTGCACTGAACTGTGTTTGTGCAGCACATCGTAATTCTAGCCTCGAGCCCAGCTGATCTGCCTTAATACATTTTCAAATGTTGTAAATTCAAGATTACATAATTCCTCTTAGTGTTAAATTATAGGTGGCAAACACAGTTTTATGTTTGTGATACACAAGCCAACTCTGGTAGCTCTTTATTCCTGCAGTGATCTGAAACATAATTATCCATAATGAGCTCACCCTGTAAAAACATAAAAAACTGCAACAGAGCTGGTAAAGGAGGCTCGCATTTATGAGTTCTGTCTTGAGAACATCACTGGAGTAAAGCTAGAGATTAGTACAAACGCAGCAGTCCAAGACGGTCCTTTTCCGTGTTTGGATTGCGGTCTCTCAGGAGACTGCTGCCGGTGGGGCAGGGGGCCTCTGCCTTCTGCTCATACCCCGGGTCCACCTTCCATGCTGCAGCTTCCCTCACCCTCTTCACACAGCCCACCTCACCTCTGGCCCTTCCTGGTCTGCTGCCGGGGCGTCCTCTGGGCTCGATCCCTTGTAGCAGGGTTGCTGTAGGAAAAAAAAGTTTGAAAAATACGTCCTGAGCATCTAAAGAATGTTTCTGGCCATCCACCACTTCACTGTACATCATCTGCCTCCATCCTGGCTTACTCTGCAGTAGCCCCGGATGAAGAGACCGTGGCATATCCCTGCCCTCTGGGTGAATGTGGATGAAGAAGTGATCACCAGCCCGAGCTGCCCCTCACCGTGAGAGAGGAGGCACCTCTGTTTCAGAGCAGGACTTGTACATTAACGCTGGAAATCTCTTGTTGCTGTAGCTGGGAGACAGAAGTCTTTGAAACAGACGTCTCACTTTTATGAGCGTGCCGCATTCAGATAGGCACTCTGCAGCATGTGTGTATGAT